TGCGCAGCAGGCCAGGCCCTAGAGAAATGAGGACGAGACGTAGCTACCTCACGGGGCTCCTTCCAGAGCTGAGATGTGCTTCCCTAGGGCTAGGCGGGGTCACCGTGGAGGGGCTGGGGGCAGGCACAGAATGGCACAGGCAGGCCGCAGACGCAGGTCGTTGATGGATATGGAGAAGGGGACAGGAGGAGAACTGTGAATTTTTAGGCCCACAACCTGGGCAGGGGTCCTGAGCAAGCAAACCAACCACCCCAACCCGAGACAAAAGTCCCTCCTTTGCCCCTGACTCTTTGCTGTCTAGGAATTCTCACAGGCTGCCTGCCTGTGACAACCTGGGCCCCATCTGAAGAGACTGGGATGGCACTGGCAGTGGGGGGGGGTCTATCCAGCCAGCATTCTTTATGTGGCCTCTGGTCTCCATGGCCACCTGCTGGGTTGGTTGGATTAGTGGGGTGTGGAAAAAGGGTTCATCTGTGGGGAGGTGGCAGGGCTCCTACTGGTGCCTGCCCTATCCAGCTGGGAGCTGGCGTATGCCTCTGGCCAGTCAAGCAGTGGGCCCAAGGACACCCCTGAGAAGCCCAAGCCGGGTGGTCACTGCCTCATGCTGGAACTGCCTGTGGGAGGAGGCATTGCAAAGGCAAAACCTCCCAGAGAGTTTCCTTTTTGGAAACTTGGAACCAGCGCCTTTAATGACATTTTCCAAGGGAGAGGGAAGGGGCACAGGGCACTGGCTGGGTTTACAGCAACGACACTATTTGTGTAATGACATCAGCTCCCACAAGGCCCCTCAGCAGTGTCAACAGCTGGAAAGGGCCCGGACCAGCCAGGGTATGCAGCAGTGGGTCGGGCCTTGGGGGAAGGGGCCTGGTGGAGTCAGGCAGGGCTTGCTGGCTCGGGGAGGTGCCTGGGTGCCCAAGCCACAGGTGGGCAGGGCCAGGAATGGCCAGGTTCCTGGGAGCCATGGCAGCCTTGACCACTTCCTGTTGCTGCCTTCACTGCTGACTTCCAAGGGAAAAGACAAAGGCTATGGGCTAAAGAAGCCTGCTGCAGCCATCCTGGGGGTTGTCATTGTCTAGGCTGCATCCACCTCACCCAGTCTTTTCAGGGCATCCTCTTTCAAGAGTGCCCCCCACACCAGTGAGCCCAACCCCTTCTCAAACCCCTAGAAACTGTCCCCCAGCCGTTTAGTCCGGTTGTCTTGCAGGACCTATTCCTGTGCTCTGGAGCCTCTCGGCTCCCTGCCTTCCTGAACTGCGCACTGTGCTGGGCCTCCGGCCTCATCCTCACACCCAGCACATGGAATATGAAGCCTGGCTCCCTCTCAGGCAGGAAATTGGTTTCATTTTCCCTGCCAGAGCTTGGCTGCTCCAAAGAGCCCATATACCAAGAATGAAGCTCAGCCCCATGGCGACTGGGATTCCCTCTGCTTCCCTCACTTCTGCCCATGTCACCACTGCCATTTATCCAGCACCTGCTCTGTGCCAGGCACTTTACCCCCACGCTTCTAGCCTGTCCTCATGACAACCCCGTGGGACAGGGATTCTCACCTGTTTCCCACCAGGGAGGGAACTGGTGTACACTTGCCCAAGGTCATGCTGCAAGCGTGTGGTGGCACGGGGACTCCAGCTCTTCCAGTTCTGTTACCTGCACTCAATCCCTGCAGCAGGCTGCTGCCCATACCATGGCAACCGCTTCCTGAGGACCTCCATTCTAGCCTAGAGATAGCCCGGGTGGCGTAGGGATACGCACAATGTCTTCAGGAGGGACGGCCAGAGTGGAGGGTGCAGCAGGGGATGGTTTCATCTGAGGAGAGCCCTGGGAGACCCCAGGTTTCAGGAAGGCAGGCCTCAGTTCTCCTGGGGCCCCAGAAAAGTGGTTTGGCTGCTCTGAGTCGGGCGCATAAGGCTGGAGGGATTCTAGGAGACTGGCGGAGATGCCTTAGGAGCAAGAAGACAACAGCCTCAGGGAGCGTCATTTGCTCCTTGAAATGGAAGCCTAGAGCTGGAGGGCAAGGACCCCTGGCCAGGCCCCAGGCCTAGCATGATCTGCTGCATGCCATTAACAGCAAAAGGCATTGTGCTGCCAGGGATTTTGTCCTGTTTGTAATACCTTGCACCACCACACCCCAGTCTGGGGCTGGATGTCACCCCCTATCCAGTAAGGACCCCTCAACAGTGGCGCCAGGGGCCTGCTGAAAATCTTGTTGAAAATCAACTCAGCCTGCAGCCTTGCCTCTGGCTCGACCTCCAGCCACCCCTTTTTCCTTGACAGGGCAAAGGCCCTCCACCCAGTGGTGTGGCCGTTGGGGGACTGTAGCTGGGGGACTGTAGCAGGGTGGTCAGAGCAGCCAGGTCGGGAATGAGGTGACTGTTGGGATTGCAAAGTTCATCACAGGCTGCCTCCCTCATCTTGTTGTGCCCCCAACCAGAATCCAGGCCGCCACTTCTCTGCTTCCAGCCTCTGACCTCCATGGTAAGGACCCAGCCTCAGCAAACCACCCCCTTCCCACCCAGTTCCCACCCCAGGGAGATGGAAATAAGAATCAAGGTGTTGCAGTTCCAGTTTGTACAGTTAGAAAGGGATGTAAAACGGAACTAGATTTTGATTTTGAAGAGTGTATTAACCAGAACTGTGATATGTAGGTTTTTGAGGACCAGATTAGTCTTTTATGTTTTTTTTTAAAATGGATTCCCCAGGGCCTCTTGTCCCTTTTCTTACCAGCTGGGCGGTCTGGTGTTCCTGACAGCTGAGTGCCTGCTTTACTGATGCACAGAAACACAAAAGGTGTGAGGTAGAAGGAAAGGGGAAGGAAACAGGCTGCCCCCACCCAAGCACCTGCAGGCCGTAGCCTCAGCTTACAGCTGCTGTACTTAGAAAGCAGGGTGGGAGACAGCAACCACAGGTTCCTTCAGCTGGGAGGGAAGGACACCTGTGGGGTCAAAGCTCAGAGAGGCTGGGAGCTGCCCTGGTAATATGCAGGAAATAAGTATAGACATTGTTGGAGTTGCCCCAGGTTGGAATGAGACCGAAATCAGAAGAGACCCTTAGGAACTGGGAAATAGTTCCCATGGGGTTTCAATACTTGAAGGACCCCTCCTTTCCTGGAGCTTAAGAGTGGGCAAACTAGGCTTAGTGAGGTGTCACCGTTCAGGACAGTCATTCCTGCAGACCACAGCCACGCCAAACCTGGGGTACCAAAACTGTCCTTGTGGGGCTTCGCCCCTGCCCAAGCCAGATCCCCCTCCTCCTTGTGTCATTGGACAGCCCCGCCTATCCCCGCTCCTAAACCCACTTCCCATCCTCCCCTAGCTCCCTCTTGTGTTGCAGATTTCTGTTCACTCAGAATTGTAAATGTTTAGTTGTGACCATGACATATTGTTTGGGTCAGTGTTCCTTTCCAATGCATACTAATATATTATGGTTATTATATATGAATATATTTAATGACATGGAAAAAGTTGTGGATTTTTTTAAGGTTTTTTTTTTTTTTGCTGTTAGAGTTGTAATGGGCCCAGATGGAACTTGTAATGTGGGCCCCACATGATAGAACTAAATTCAGATATCATTAAATAAACTCTTGTATACTGTTCTGTCTCCAGTCTTTCTTGGTGGCCTGAGCTATGGGTGATAGGCACGTGGGGAGGAAGAAGAGTTAAATCTTTCTGCAACGTAAGGAGTATGGCCTCTTGCCTTAGAACTCCCCACCAAGACAAAGCTCTGGACTTTATTTTTTGGTAAAGAGCCCTAACTACCCAAAAAAGGGAGAAAAAGGGCAGCTTCACTTGGAAAGTCCTAGGGACTTGCTGGCTCTGAATGCTCTTTTGAGCTAAAAGGCTCTAAAATGGGACAATATGTATTTCAGTCACTGCTCCTGGGGTAGATCCTTCCTGCTCTGTGGAGCTCCCAGACATGGGGGAACTTAGGGTACAGGGAAAAGAGGGTTTCTTCCTACGTGCCCCACACACAGCAGCAGGGAGAGAGCAACCTTTGACCTTTCCTTGCTTGATTTTTAAACCTGGAGGTCATTTTTTGCTGTTTACATAACTTGTTTCTTAAAGCCAAGTAGAGACTCACAAGGAAATACAACAGGGTTGGTGAAACTCAAGAGATCTTGCAAAAGTCTTTTTTCCAATCCATTGCTGAAGACTTCATGTGGTGCATAGACTGGGCCGGTGCCAGCACCACATGGCCACCGGGAGCTGAGCTCACTGGGTTTTGGAGAGGCTATATTTAAACCTCCAAATGGTTGTGATTTCTGTATTAATATGCAATGCAGCCATTAGGAACACACTGTGGTGCCACACAAAGTGAGCTGATAGGCACCAGGATACGGTCATTTCTGCACCCAGCTGTTTTCAAGACCAGGCTCAGCCGCAGGCCTGGTCTGGACTTGAGTGATGCCGATTCCACTGGACGCACTTCCTTGGAAGGTCCAGGAAGGCTTACCTCGCCATGTGGCAAGCTGGCTGGAGGTGAGCCGCTTCTCAGGAAGCCTCCTCAGGGGCCTGGCTGTGAGGACAAGGAGCTGGGCACTCAGAGCAATCCACGGACTGAGGGCATCTCAGGAGTGAGTCCCTGATGAATGACAATGACTGACAGTAGTTAGTGGGGACAGGGCAGGTCTCAGTTGCTAAGGCCAAGGGAAAGCAAGCCTTTTCTGCAGTCTCAGGCACTCACCAGGGCCAGCTGGACTGCTGGCAGGATTTAGGACCCACTGAGACCAGGGCTAAGAGGTTTGTGATGCATGTGGCAGTTTCTCGGCTATGGTTATTTTAGGTCAAGGGTCTAGTTCCCAAGGACTTTCATGATATGGCTTTTCTCTGTCCAGAAAATTGTTTGTGCCTGTGAGTGCTGTG